TCCCGCCAGCGAGTCGCGCGCGCGTATGAGTCGAGTGACGAGTCAATCTGAATAAGAATCATTGAATTCAAGTGATTATGAATCAAGAGTCATGCAGCACGAGCCGGATGAGCGTGCTCGTGCTCATCACGTGGACCGTTCATGGTGGGACCGGACCGTCCGCGCAGGGCCGCCGCTCCACAAGCTGCTGACGAGTCGCGAGTCTCGAGTGTGTGAATCTTGATGAGTGTTGTGCGCAGCTCGAGCGGGCGGTGAGCTCAAAAGTCAATCAATGAAGCGCGATATATGCCACAACCACCATAATCACCAATCACGATTTGAGCACAATTACAGATCGCACATTGTTCGGACGCGGACGCAGGCGCAGATTTGCACACGGATATTCCAGCTCGAGAGCATATGCGCATCAAGCATGTTCACAGGCATCGGTGCGTGTCAGGCGGTCAAAGCCGCTCTCGGAGGGAAGCAAACGCAGACGAATCCGTTGACTTGAACATCTCACACCCACTGTGACTTCCTTCCGACTCGGCCGCTCGGTGATGCAGTCGAGCTGCTCGCGACAATCGTGGCGGTCAAGGAAAAGGATGACGGGCAGGGTGGAGGCGGAGGGTACAGTCTCATCATTGCAGGTTGCGCAGATATCCTCGACGACTGTCATATTGGCGATAGCATAGCCGTGAATGGTGAGTGGGCTCTTGTTGGAGCATCGCATCGCCTGCCCGCACTCTTGACTCTTGCTCATTGCAGCTTGTGCACCCACGACCTGAAATTCGTGCTCGCGATGCCGCCAGGCACTTGCTTGACAGTTACTGCCTTTGACGCGGAAAGGGCCTCGCCCGAAGCGCAGCATGGCGCAAGTCCCCCTCAGAAAGGCTGGTTCAAGATTGGCGTGGCGCCCGAAACGCTGAAAAAGACCAATTTGGGAAGTTTGAAAGTAGGAGACAGGGTCAACTGCGAAAGGGCGATGGGTGCGAAAACGAGGTTTGGTGGACATTTCGTTCAGGTATGTAGAGTAGGAGCGCAGGATCTTGTCCGCTTGCTTGCAATGCTCATCTGCTCCTCCTCTTTCACCCCCTTCCAGGGTCATGTCGATACCACCGCGATGCTTGTCAAAGTTACACCCACAGGCAATGCGCTCACTCTGGTTCTACGTCTCAACAATTCTCCCGACCTGCTCCCTCTTCCTTCCTCTCTTTCCCCCTACCTCATTCCCAAGGGCTACATCACGCTAGACGGAGCATCTCTCACGCTCATCGACGTCAGTCCAGCCGAAGGCGGACCTTTGAGCTCTACGGCCGGTCAGCCGGAATCGCAAGGCGGTGCTAGACCAGTTGGAGAGGTGAAGGAGCATGTGGAATTCAGCGTCATGCTCATCGCTCACACTCAGGATGCCATTGGATTGAGCAAGAAAAAGCCGGGTGAGACGGTGAATGTGGAACTGGATGTGAGTTTCAAAGCTGCTTCTTTCTAGCTGCGAGAAGCCAAAATTTTGCGGCTACATCGGGAATTGATCGGGTGTTGATGACTCCTTGCCATTACAGATGGTCGGCAAGTACGTCTACAGGGCAGTGGTGGGAGCAGCGGGGTCGGTCGGAGCGTCCACATCCGACCTTGCGCCTACTTCAGAAGGCGGCAAGGCCTTCAGTACGAGCGGTGTGGATGCTGGTGCGGCCGCGCTCAGTCAGACGCAGACCGCAGGCAGAACGGCCTCTGATGCTCTTACCGCTTTCATCGAGAGGACTGTCCGGAGGGTACTGTCGGAGCAGAGCAGTCTTTCCAGATAGAACAGCCAAAGGGCAAAACATGGCATGACCAATTTCTCAAATCGCTTACATGATTCGTCATGGCATGACGAGAGGGGCTGCTGTTGCTCCAAGGGGGGAAAAGAGCAAGGGAGTTGGGCTCGCAGCAGTGACTCGTTACTGCCCTTTACAGATGTAAATCAGCTCATGAGGCTGCAATGACGGCAAAATGTACGCTGGGGCCCTTTTCGTTGTACTGTTGCTTCGTGACGTACGATTTGCCGTGCGGGTCGCTGAACACGAGCTTGCAGCATCAAAAGCAGGGAGCATCAGAGACGCGATCAGTCATCGTCGCAGTTTTGCTCGCAGCGCATACTTGCATTTGTGCAGAGGTCTGCTCGTTCACACCGCTCTCCACTCACCTTGCCATATATGGTAGCGCCCAAAAAAGGAGCCAGATCCGTCCTGCCTTTAAACTCTGCAAAATAGTCTGGCACTTGCAGAGCTCTGATGTTGGTGGGCTGTCCCGTCATTCTGCTATCGCTCAAGCCCATGGCAGAAGGAGCAAGACCCGGAGTTCCTCCATCGCCACCGACTGCCCCTCCAAGCATGAAGGAAGCCGAAGGTCCTCCGTTTGGTCCGCCAGCTGCAGAGGCCGCTGCCAAAGCTGCTGCAGAAGCGACGTATTTCGAGCTGGCTTGGATGACTGACAAGGACAGCTTCCTCAGTCCCTGGACCGGTGCTCCCGTAATGACGAGCGATTCCCACAACGTAGACCGACGCTCATCTTCCGGTATGGAGTTGATGACCGAATGAATGACCTCTGTAAGACCTCGAAGACCTAGCATGTATTCTTGGTCCAAACCCAAGGTGGCATCCAGCGCGTCCACATTGATCCTCTCCTCTGCGAGACCTCCCACGCCAAAAGGTCTGTCGCCTGACGCCTGAAATGTGCCAGACTTGATACCCCTCACGTTGGCCAGCAATGAGGGTTCGTACAGAGCTTGAATAAAGTTGCGCAATGGTTGAGGAGCTATCTTCAAAGTCTTGCCCCTAAACTTGATGGTCACGGCCTCCGGGTCCTCCGTCGCGCCAGCTTGGCCTGCATCTTCCTCTTCCGCTTCCACAGACCTGGCATCTTTCTCCTTCGAAGCTTGGCCAGTCTGGCCCTGTTCAACTAGGGCAGCTTTGTTTCTCTTTTCCTGCTCCTCCATAGCGGCTTTTTCCCGCCCAGCGATCAGAGCAGCAGCAATGTCGAACTCCTCCTCCTCTTCGCCTTCACCGGCGGCGGCGGCGGCGGTCGCACCTTTTTTGCCTGCAGCGCCATTGTCCCCCTCTTCAAGCTTGGCTTTGCCCTCCTCGATCAATTGCTGGGCCAAGGCGACAAATGAGCGCTGAAGAGCCTCTTCAGCCAAGCTAGAATCTTTGGACGAGGAAGCCGAAGCTGCTGCTTGTTGGGTGTCTTTTGATGCGGCCGCTGCAGACTTGGCATCCAGCTGGATGAGCGCGTCCGTCAAGGAACTATCTCTCCTTAGAAGATGTGCCAAGTAGAGCGTCAGGTGTTTCATGCCTATCCTGCATGTCTGGATGTTGCCTGGAAGCACCATACAGTCAATGACGGGAGCGACATTGATGCTCTCCCATCCCACGTCCACCACCAAGCCGCCCAGTGATCCCACGGCATACGCGGACAGCAGCGGTTGCTCCAATATAGCCAAGGATGGCGCATTGAAGAGCTCAAAGAAGATGCGAGTGATGTTAGAGTAGGTCGAGCGGGATATGGGCGCTGGAAGAGCCAGCAGAATGGGCGAGTCGTTCAGACTAGGTCTGAGCGGCATCATGCGGAACAAGAGGTGTCGCCTGTTCCAAAGTGGCGTGCGGTCACTACGACGTGGCCATGAGCAAGCGATTCAAAGACCATGGCGCTCTCACTCACCAGAGCGCAATGCAAGCTTGAAAATCGTAGATCACACCTTGCTTCATGGGCCAGATCACTCGCATCTCCTCGCCATTGCCCAGCCTGCCATCCAGTTCCTCTCCCACCACATAATCGTCCTCTAGCGGTACTTCAGTCTCCAGCGCTGCAGGGCTTGGCTGTTCCTGTTCTCGCGCCTGGCCTTGCGATACCAGACGCTGAGATCTGAGCGCTCTCCAGTCCAAGGGAAGTCCGACACGCGAGGATAGCTCGTAGGCAGGTCGACGAAGGAGATCGGAGTGTATGCCGTAGCCCGCTCGAATAGTGTGAGAGCCGTGCACGATCAGCACCGCTTTGCTCTCCCGCGACATGCTGACTGGACGACGCTGAGTGGGCTACTGGAACGTGGAGACAAGTCAGACTGCGCGAGTGTAAAAAAGCCTGGGAGAGAGAGAGAGAGAGGCTGAAGGAGGTGCAACTTGTGCGAGAGAAAGTTGAGAAGATTCGTGATTGTCGACGCTTGCTTCGTCGTGCCTGCTGCTGGTCTAAATGAGCGCGTACGCGACGCGACGAGTGACCTTGGATCTCCGCGGAGCGTCTACGCTCCACAGGGCAAGGACACGTGACTTTAATTCGCTCGGTCCCCACGCCGCTCTGTTCGTGATCTCCATGCATCCGCTCATCGCACTCGCGGATGCCTCCTCGAGCGGCGCAGATTTCTACATTCAGTCAAGAGTGTCGCTTGCTGTCCATGACCTGTCTTCCAAAGCAAATTGTTGGGCAGCTCTAACCCACAAGGTGCTGACATTGATGCCATGGAAATTGCCAGGGGCATTCTGCTACAGATAAGCTTGGTGTCATCTTCACAAGCCTTACACACAAAGTTGACAATGTTGTAGCTCTGCTAGAAGCAGCAGGAGTTGCGAATGGACGTCCAAATCTTGACCTGGTGGAGGTGGGCATAGAGACGGTGATTTGCAATGATCTGGCAGCTCTGCAGCACATTGCTCCAAATATGAGGGCTCCGTGCCCAGAAGCAGTGCAGCGAGTTGTCAACATGGCTGCTCGAGCTTCAGCTACTAGCAATGTGCGCTCTTTGATCATCATGAAGGACAACACCGCCAAAGTGCTTTACAACACAGCGGATGACTATGGACTTCACAGTCTGGGTTGCGGCCAGGGACCAGCGCTTTACCAGTAAATGCGAACTTTAGTAGACTATCCCTTTGTGAACGTCTACAATGCTGTAGAGCATCACTGCAAGGTGCCAGCATTTGCTCAACAACATGTGGTGGATTTCATTCCATGGAGTTGTCACAAGTATCTCTGTTAGACGCGTTGACAAATACACACCGCGCGGCCCCACGTGACCGACGCGAGCGCCGCGGTACCCGAACCCCTTTTCGCACGCCCGAACCCATCTTCACACACCCACAGCGCCCCCCTTTTCCTTCCCCTCTTCCTGGTCGCAATTATTGTCTTTACTCAGCTATCCTAGGATTCGCCCCGCTTCTGTGCCATAGTCACCGAAGCATCCGAACCTTCTAGCAATAGTATAGCATACTTGCCTGATCACCCAAAGTACCTGAGCCTCTTGAACCCCGTTCCCGGGCTTCCCGAGGCCTCACCCGAAGTTCCCGGACTACACGAGCGTAGCCCCGACCAACCCGACCAGTGCCGTTGTCGGTCGTGACAATCTCCTCTTTTATTTCGTTGTGTGCTTGCGCATTGTTTTGCATGGGGTGAGTGTGGGTGTGAGAAATGCGTTGTTGCAACGCTGGCTGACAAGATGCCTTTGCTATCAGACTGGAGCAACAAGCAATGGTGATTAGACTTACATCTCATCAAGTCAAGTTCTTGCTGCTTGACCGTGCAAATCAGATCCACCACAATATTGCAGCGGTCACCAGAGCAGACATCTTGACGAGAGTTCTCTTGGGCAAGCTGCCAATCACAGCCTTGACAATGCTTGCAGACAAAGGGCACGCCATCAACATGAGATACTGGCGCCAGCTCAAGTGGCTGAAGCCCAGCAAGTGGATTGACAGCTGCGGCAGCGTCCACAACTTCATGCTGCAGGTCAGTGGTACCAGCAATGGCCGCAGGGGTAGCTTGGCTACCTTTTTCTTTGTGGTTGTACTGGATGAAGGAGCTCTGAAGTACTGCCTGCTATACAACAAGGACTTTGCTTGCCTGATCTATTTATCAATGGCAGTCTTTTGAGCAGCAGAGCAAGGACTAGAGCTGCCAGAGCTTGACGTGCTCACTGATGCCTGTGGGTCACGTGACTGACTGCGCACGCTACCTACATGTGCAAGTGAGACCCTACCATAGAGCTGAGCAAACGAAGACCTTTACCACCACTCTTGGGTGACTTACACTTTTTTTTTGGTGTTACGCGTCGGTTTGCCCTGCTCTGCTGTCGATCTGTGGTCTCACTTGACTGTTTGCAAGCATCAGAACTGTTATAGCTTTAGTGTTGCTCTGCTGTCGACCATCGTTAGCTCACGATCGAGTTTGTACGCACCAGTGCTATTGCACCAAAAGGTTGCTCTACTTCCATCCACCCGCAGCCAGGTTGCTCTACTTCCATCCACCCGCAGCCCTGGATGCGTTAGTATCAGCCGCTACAGTGAACTTGATCAGTACATCCATTGCCCATTAGTCACGCCAAGAGTGGTGAGTAGTAAAGGCCATCAACGCGACCAAGTGTTGTAGTCGTCACCACTGGATGCGCAGGTTCCCTCGTTGTTGCGGATATCATTTCGTGTGATATGCCAGGCTGCTGAACAATTGTCTTCCAAGCTGCAACAATGGAGAAAGCTTGGCACTATGAGAGGTGTTCATTACCTTGAGGGTCTTCAGGAAAGCCCTGATGTTGGCCGCGCTGAGCACTTCATTGCACTGCACTTGACTACAAAGTGGCGCTGCGACAGGGCAGTGTGGTAAATCGACCAGGGCGCGCGCAAGGAGTCACGAGAGTAAGAAAGATGAAATTTTCTATTGCCCGTCGGGCCAGGTGAATTGCACCGATTCCTGGGCCAAGGAAACAAATGTGAGGGCGGCCCGCTGTGCTGTGTCTTTTTGACATTCAGGCCATTCGTGATTCATGTGTGGTTAAAAATATAAATTCTTCTGCATTCGACGATTACCAAAACAAAGCGCTCGGTAGGGCCAGTGAGTGGAGCGGTGGGAGAAGAAGCACGCCATTTAGATCCGACTGGGCGAGGGAGGAAAGATCAGTACACGTTGAAGCGGGCAATAGCCAGCGCAGCATTCGCAGGCCTTTGCGCGACAAGCCTAACAAATTTGGTAGTGAGGGGAGCGTTGAATTGAATTTCGGTCGGTCCATTGGCGACGAGCGTAAAGGCATTGCTTCGAATGTCCGTCCAACTCTTTCCATCCGTCGAGCTTTGCAATTTGGCGCTACCGCTAACTGGTAAAGCGTAAGCGATCTTGTCCCCATTGACGCCGTTTCCAGCCTGGAAAAAGAGCTGAGCAGATCGGATGGATGTGGACGCGTTTTCGAATTCGATGGAAAAGAATTCTTCAGTCGAGGAAGCGCTGGATGAGCTCGTCCACGCATTGTCCGAAGCTCCAAAGAAGGCGATTTCTCGTCCGCCTACTGCTTGGTACTGGTTGTAAGCCGCATCGCCCACGAAGCCCGGTCCAGCGACGCCATTGGAGCTGGTGCTGACTTTGGGCCAAGCGCTGTTGGTAGCTAGACGCAGGGACAATGGGGATCGGGAAGAGTCGAAGGTGG